TATTTATTCAATTTTCAACAATAGAAATCAGATCAGTCTTTTCTCACGCAAAGCTAATGATTAGTTGATTAAAATGACTGGAAAAAAATTTGGGCTGCCTGAGCTCGTTAGTGAGCTATAGCCATTTTTCAACTGACAGAACTCAATATCAAGGCAAATCCGCCATGTTTTCAATGTGCGCTTGCACGAACGCATGCTAATGACACCATAAATTATGCGCCGTAAGGATGTGCAATGCAGTACTGGGGAATGACCTGAAATGTAGATTTGTTTGTTTTGTTCAATTTTAATTCAGATTGATGAAATATGTATTGATGAATTTCTTTTGTGTTGAATAAATGATTAGTATTTTATGGGAGCTCCGCATTTAGACTTGGGTAAATCTTTATATTAATATTAACCCCTTACCAATCAAATGCAAGGTCTGTACTGGGGAATATTGACCCGAGGTCGTGGCAGTACAGACTGAGTGCAGGGCTGTTCATGCAAAAACAACCAAGGGACACTATTCCCCAATATAGCTTGGGGAAGCCAGTTTAGCAAGTAGTTTATTGTAATTATGGCACTAGTTTTAGGTGCAGATTTTGAATTTGACATGGCTTTGAATAACAAAAGATACACAGCTTATGACCATTTCCATGGAAATGCTGTGTATGGCAAAATCCCAACTAAGGAAGAGCCAATCAGAATGTTCTGATTCACCATATAACATAATTATTATTAGTTGTAGATGTGGTGTATTTTTATGGAAAATAGATGTAGGGGAGATGCTAGGCCAGAACAAAAATAGGGTGGGTGCCATGGGTCATCAGTTTGTGTTTAACTTTATTTGTCTTTTTGATATCACATTCTAGAAATTTGGTTAAACAAATTATCTACAAATAAATGGAAATCACTGCTGAAAATTGGTTTTCATGCATTTGAAATATCATATACCCTGTTCAAATATGGATACCCCTTTCTAGATCAAGGGTACCAAAATCACACCCCCCTTAGATGGCACATACCAGTATAGGTATTTCATGACAGCACACCTCCATCTAGGGGCTATCCAGCTATTGTAGAACTTGCAAACTAGATTACAGAAGTTATTATTTGACTGAGAAAATTACCTTATTATGATTGGCTGAGAGCAGGCCAAATTATTGTTGAATTTTAATTTGCATTGCAGCGCAAATTAATGTAGCTACTTTTGGTTTGTTATTTTGTTGAGTTATTCCAGTTCCCGGTATATTAATTTTTATTTTGACATATACTGTTCATAATTGTATTATGCTAAAACACTATGTGCATGTCATTGAAGAACTGAGGACAAATGATCCTTTACCAACAAACCAAAAATGTAAAAATATTTATGAAACTGATCACCTGAGATTGCCTGAGAATCTAGATATTGTTAAGAGTTAATTTTATTTAAAGGATGGAAATCAAAGAAAAAATAATTATATGCGTACTGGTAATTTCATTCACCTTTTGTATTCATGAGTTTGCTCATACATGTAGCGCACTTTCATTAAGGACAGAATGGAACAACACGTGTGGCTATTAGTTTAAAGCCTATTAATGCTGCCTAATTCTCTTAGTAGTAGTTTGTTCTTGAGCCGGTGTAATTCACTAAAAAGATGATGATGATTATTTATTGAACTGCATGGGCTCACACTACCTAGAAGTAAGCTTGTACACACATACAAAGGGATTTAAATAAACCAAAATAAATTTCAAAACTCTCACACAGGTCAGGTGCTCAAACCACTGAGATACATGTCACTGGACTAGCGTGAAGTCCTCGTTAAAGAAATATTGGTCGAGTTCTTTTTTCTTGCAGGGTTATGGACCGATACTATTATACTGACAAGTTGCCCTCAAGAGCTTCCTTACAAGACAGTCACGGCAAGCTCGTGTTTGCGTTGGGAATTATTCATTCACCTTAAGATTTACGCCAATAGGTCCTGACTGAGCTTGCTTGAATGGCTCAAAAAGTAAAATTTATTCATCAGTATTCAGTAAATTACAGTTAGATCGGTGACTGTAACTGATCTACTCCAGCACTTATCGTAAAATAATTTTCCAGATGTAGATTGTTGTTCCAGTCTCGGCACAGTCAGTGAATGCTGTAATGATGAATTTTTCCGCATGGCTGTGCTCTGAACACGACTTGTGAACCGGGTTCCCACCTACTTGTATCTGCCCGATCAATAACAAAGCTATTTTTTTTTGTCGTTTTGTTAGGAATACAGCAGAAACATCTATCTTCGCAGCAAACTTGACGAGACTCGTGCTTTATTGAGCAGTTATCAGCTTACAAGCACCATGAACAAACACGCAGTAGAGAAGTCATATACATGCAAGCATTGTAATAAATGCTTTAGCGACCGTTCATCTCATAGGCAACATGAACGAATTCACACTGGAGAGAAGCCGTACCAGTGCATTCATTGTGGAAAGTGCTTTAGTCGCTCGTCAAATCGCAGGAGACATGAACAAACTCACACAGGACTGAAGCCGTTTACATGCAAGCATTGCAATAAGGGCTTTGGCCGCTCATCAGATTGCAAGCGACATGAACGAACTCACACAGGAGAGAAACCGTATTCATGCAAGCATTGTGAGAAAGGCTTTAACCAATTAGGAAATTGCAAGGAACATGAACGTCTTCACACAGGAGTGAAGCCATATTCATGCAAGCATTGTAACAAGTGCTTTAGCCAATTAGTGAGTTGCAAAGAACATGAACGAACTCACACAGGAGAGAAGCCATATACATGCAAGCATTGTAATAAGTCCTTTAGCCAATTAGCAACTTGCAAGCAACATGAGAGAACTCACACAGGAGTAAAGCCGTATACATGCAAGCATTGCAACAAGTGCTTTGGCCAATTAGCAACCTGCAAGCAACATGAACGAACCCACACAGGAGAGAAGCCGTATACATGCAAGCATTGTAACAAGTGCTTTAGTCGGTTATCAAACTGGAAGAAACATGAAGAAAGACACGCAAGAGTTGCTTCTTTAAAACTCAAGGAGCATGATCAGTGCTTTCAGCAACCTCAGGAGCCAGCTGCAGCTCACGGTGGCGAAAAGTCAGATATGTTGTTGTCTTTGACTGCAGAAAGTTCAAGCCATGTTGAAAGCTTCACTTGTTGGGTTTATCAGGAGGAAGTCACTAGTGACACGTGTATCGTTTAACATTACGATGATCAAATGAGATAAAAACGACGCGTTTACCTCATTCAAAGGTATAAATCTCGCTCTTAATTTTACTGTTTTCCTATTTTTTGTGTACAACATGTTTCATAGAGTCACCAGGGAAAAATGTGAATCCTAGGGAAGCAGTCTCGTATGTTACGGTGGAACCCGCTTAATACGGACACTAACGCTGCGCGCAAAAGTGTCGTTATTATCCGGGTGTCCTCATTAACGGAGATCACAGAATAAACGTCAAGAATACATGTTTTATCGAAACCGGCACAGACTAAAGCATTCAATCTCTAAGTATCGCTTTTAGCTCGGGTGATTTTTAAATTAGCTTGATGTAAATACCTTTCTTTTTTTTCTTTTTAAGCTTTATAATGTTGTACATTACTTAATTTCAATCGTGGAACACCTGCAAACTAGCGAACAGCTAAGTGTGTACTTGTCCACGTTAAATAAAGTATGTCTATGTCTATGTCTATGTCTAAGTATTCGAACGATGTTTGAACTAGATCTCTTACCTGTAGAAGAAGCCTTACGCTCATTCAAACGTGTTAATGTTTGGCACTAAAAAAAATTTGATTTCTTTTATACCACTGCATACTCGACACCGTAATTATTGATGTAACTTTGGTAGTTTTGTAAACAAGCGTCAGTCTATAGGAACGACTTGCTGAGTGCAATTAGTAACTATTGACTTGTATTTCACATTGCTGTAACGTTGAATTATTGTAGAAAGATTTTTACAGGCCAGAAGGTCCGAAGAAAACTTCGTGAGTAAGGTTACGCTAAAGTTTAGTTCGTACTTTTACGATGGCTTGAAATGTTTTGTTAGAATGTTAATGAAAGTTTCGTTTATTCCTGGTTTAGCACGATTACCATAACTGATTCGATTTAGCGCCTTTGAACGTGAGTTTGTTGACAAGCTCCTGTTTTCCAATTGGCGTGTTAGTGTCAAGTAAGAAATGAGCGCCCCGCCTGTCCTGTCTGCAATAAGCGTCTCATTCCCTTTAGATGTGAAAACGACTAAAAATTACTGGCTTTCACCAAAGGAAAGAAAGAAGTAAATATGCTTCTGCTTCAACAGAATAGATAGTGGGTAGCGTAGCCAATCAGAGAATGGCATTCGTGATACAGAGAACGCTAGTAGATTTATACTGACACTGTTACATACCGTTTATTTACGCAGGGTAACTTTATAAAGTTCAACTAGAAGTATGGAATTGACGGTCCACATTGTCCACATTCATTCACACACATTCATTTTAGTATTACAGTCATTCTACAGACACATCATTCATCCTTGTTTACACTGAACACGCCCAGGCGAAAGAAGTCTGAAGTCGACCCCAAACAACTCTGCAGAGGTCAATTGAAACGTTTTCCTTGGTGTCTCGGTTTTGTTTCTTGTTTGGTGAAATTATATGAAAATTAAACCGAGCACCAAGCGATCGTTGACTCGCCCCAGCCGCCTTCTTACAGCAACCCCCAGAAATCTCGAGTTGAGTATTGGAAGGGGTCAAAGTAATTTAAGTATTATGCTACCGTGCTGACGCGGCTACGTGGCTACGCAGTTACGCGGCTTCACTGTACCTTATCTTAGTAGCCGCGTAGCCAGGTGGCTACTTGGCTACTTGGCTGCATTTGGAGTGGACGGGTATTCTACAGTTAAGCCCGTGTTTTGTTTTGCATAGTGTATTGACCTGCCTGAGAAAGGAGAGCGCAAATGGACGGTACCGCAATATTCGTGAAGGACCTTCTTCTACCGAATACCGTCAGCCAAAAGGATGAAAAAACCGTATACCGCCGGGCTCTATCATACCGCGATACCGCACGTCAAGATTTAAATTACCGAAATACCGCATGAAAAAATCTCAATACCGCAATACCGTAAACCCCAGTGTCCCCCTCAGAAATGGCCCACACACCTAGCCCATCCTTGTTTCCATCTGCCTGGATGGACAAATAAAATTCAGGTCCCATCCGCCCGGTCCGCCACTGTGTTTTTAAGAAACGAGAATGTGTCTCTGGAACTTATCAAAACACTTTTTCTTCGCCGCGCCGGCACTCGTTTCGTTCAAGTCATTCACACCTCTAGCCTCCTACGCAGACGCTAATTTGGCTCGTCACGCAATCTTTCTCCTTCCTTCGTGGGGGAGGAAGATTGCGTGACGCACCCGTCTGGAAAATCGGGAGACTGGGCTCCAGTGTAATTAGTGAAATGGCGTCCATCGTGTGATTTGCTGTGCAAGTTGTTGTCGCTGCTTTTTCAAGGTAAGAGAGTTTATAAGAATGCCTCATTGAAGCCAGGCTAATCTTACAAAAAACAGGGTCACCTCATTTCATCGCATCATAATATAGCTAATACCACAGACGGTAAATCGTGCTTGTATTAAGGCCGTTTGCGTCCAAAATGTTCTAGCTTGTTCTCACGTACAGAACTGTAATTATAAAGCTTGCCAAATGATGTAGTAAGGTAGAGATCAACTTTTGCCAAGAAGGTCAAGAAGTAAAAACGAAAAAAAAAAAATCGAAGAGAGATTCGAAGAAGAATACTTATTAGTCTTGCTCGTCCACGTTCGACGAAACTTCACTCGGACAAAAGCAAAACAGGCGAAATATTTGTAACTTTTCACGTACAGATTTTCTCGGAATTTTATTTTTAGATGGAAAAATCAGAAAAGGAAGTGATCTACTCCAGTAGTAGAAATAAACTGTTGTCGTTGAACTGTTGTTGTTGTCTATGAAAAGAAAAGAGGGGGTCTGGTCACCGACCATTTAATTAAGCCAGTATATTGCAGGTGAAGTCAGCAAATACCTGATGTCAAGCCCTATTCTTGCTTATATTTCTTTTGTAGTATGTGCGCTTGATTTATTACATACAATAAAAACCGGTTTGTGAGAGCCTAGTGGTTTAAGAACCTGCTGGCAGAAATTTTCCATTTTAATACCCAAAATATAAGAACCTGTTTAGCCAACCAAGATCAAGCAGGTTCTTAAATTTGGGTTACTTTTAATTATGATAAACATTTTAACCGAGGAGTGTGACTTTAAGGTTTCAAATTTGTGTTTTCAAGAGAATATATAATACAGTTGTGAATAATTACTTTATATTCAAGGACCAAACCCAAGTTTAGTAATCAACAACTATATCTCCTTCATAAGAGTTAAGATCCTAATTAGTACTAATTAAGAACCTACTTAGCCTAAATTGCCAATAACTACTCAAAGTACAAGACACCCATGGTTTTACCAGATTTCTAAAAATGTAGGTTCTTGCACACTGGTTTTTACTGTAGTGTGACATTGTGACATGAATAATTGCATGTGCAGTAAGGATGCACAGTAACAATGGGGGCAAATGTTCTTAAGTTGCACTTAAGGTCCCTGTAGTCTGTCATCGTGTTTTGCCATTGTGATTGAAAGGACTAAAAGTAGCAGTTATGAAAAATCAAAGAAGAATGATTGTCTTTGGCTCTGATTATTCAAATGGTTTGAAATGGGTTCTGTAATTTTTTTCTTCCTCAGTCCATTTGACAAGTACTACTACATATTCACTGTTTGCACAGATGTTTAGATTCGTTTTACTTGATTGTCATTATTTGATTGCTTTGTGGCACTAATTTAAAGTGAAAATGTGGTTTTGTTGATCTTGTTGTAGTTGAACATAATTTCAGTGAAGTGACTTTGTAGTGAATTACTGTGAGAAAATAGTTTACACTACTTAAGCATAGTCAATAATTAATCTAGGTGTTTCAAAAATAAAAACAGTTAATGTTTTGCCTCTTCAGTTTCACAACTACACCGTAATAAGGACACTTGTATAATATGCAGAGACACATTGGGGCTGAAGATAAATTTAATCACTAAAAGGTGATATAATAACCCATTTTACAGTTCTGTGCTTACTGATCGTGATCTGGCTTTAGCACAGAAATGAGGCTGAGGTGACTTTGTTATGAATTGATGTAAACCTTTCTTCTTTTCAGATGTAAATTATCAGTATCCTGTTATCATGCCAACTATTTCGTAATGTGTATCATTACAAGGGGGTGTGTTTAAAACATAAAAAGATAAAATGACTAAAGGTTGCTATGGTTAGCCTAAATAACACTCCAGTTAACCTAAAATTGATATTGCCCTGGTTAGTCTAAATAGCACTCCAGTCAACCTAAACATTTATTTAGTTTATTTTATTTTTATTTGCCATAAAAAAGATACAAAGAAATTACAATGATCAGTATGCACAAAAATAAAAAAATAAAAATGGTGAGGGAAACTAATAAAAACCACAGCCCTGGCAGGGGTTGTAAACTTAGGTTCCTTCCCCAAAAAATACAAGATTACTAAAACTATATTGCCCTGGCTAACCTAAATAGCTCTCAGGGTAGCCTAAATTAAATATCACTGACTTTAAGGTGGTCAGCTCCCAATAATTATAAGGGTTAACCATATCTCACAACAACAACAACAACAACAACAACAACAACAACAACAACAGCCATTTTATTTTGCATAATACATAGAATATCATTCAGCAAAAGAATACATTAAACTTAATAAGCAAAAAAACTACTCAAAGTAGTAAAAACTAAGCGAGCCTGATCCCAGTCAGGACTGGAACCCAGACTGCTTGAGCCAGTGTCCAGCACACTTGTCATTAGAGCACTGCACCTTATACATTTACAAAAGTGTTGCCAAAAAAATGCTCAAAAAATAAGTTGTATAATCATTGCAAAATATAATGAGAAAAACCTTGAAATGCTGGGGAAAAAAAACAAGATATAAAAAAATAAAATAAACTATGTTATAAGATACGTGAAAATGATATGTAGATCAAATGTTAGATCTTTGGATCTCAAATTTGGAGCACAGTAAACTGAAATAATGTTCATGATTACGCTTTATGAGTGCAATTTTGTATTTTTGTTTGCATCATTTGTAGCCAAGTTATAAGCAGCTACATGTATGTGCAACTGTTTCTTACATTCTCTGTAATTAAATAAATCACAAGGATGATGCATGTAGGAATATCCAGTAATTTATAATGTATGGAGCAAGAGATACTTGGTCAACTTTTATAAATTATTAGTACCTTGCTCTCATTGGTTTATAGGTGTGTTTAGATGAAAGTATGCAAACCTCGGTTTTCGAGAAATATTTTATAAAAGGAGTGCATGTTTACATAGCTCACACTCATAGGGTTGGAAGAATTCTTGAAAGTTATTCAGACCCTGGACTACATCTTGGGTTTACATAACTGCCTTGAATTCTCCCAACCCCGCCTCCCCCCCTCGTGTTTAGATGAGGCTATGTAAACACAGACAAAAATCTTCTATTGCTTAAGTTCTTTGGGAAAAAAAAATCGGTAGAAATAACTGCAGAAAGCACTGTGTTTCGTGGCTGTTGACCGATATATTAGGGTTTGTTAAGACTGAGTATTACTCAGTGTTATTCTCAAATAGACACACAGCCATAATGTCTGCAATAGGACCAATAGGCATGCGGGTTTTTAAAGTAAGTGATAAATATGTTCAATATTTTGTCATTAGCAATCAAAATCCCTTGATAACTAATGACAGGGCTTTAAGTGTGCTAGGGAGCAGTATTTCAAAACTTTGGCATTAAAACCCATTCATTTGGCTTTTAACGTAAGATTTTAAAAACGTTATAGTATAATAACAAGTAGCCTTTACAAGCTTTAAACCGACCTGTGAAACTTTTATTACTTTCGTTAAAATGTAGTCACGCGAGTCACAGAAATATCTGATAGTGGTAATTACCCTACCAGCGGCGCAATCCTCACCTCAAGAGTATTTTATGCTCCTTCAGATTTCAGATTTCCAATATCAAACCGTAGTAAAACCAAAGTAATTGCCTGATTACTTTCGATTTCATTTCAAAACCACTCTATTTATATGATACTTTTGTCTGATTTTGATAGGGATATGGCAGCACAGTTGACAAGATGCCTTGAAAGGAAAGCAAGTCCAACATCAGGGTTAGCGACGAACAGAAGGATTGTTTTTCGACGTAAAGCGACATTATGTTTCAGCTAATCATAGCCTGCTGTGATGAATATGGCGACAGAGGTACCAGAGAAGACACACGAATGCAAGCGTTGTGGCCAGTTATTTGACCAGTTATCACCTTACAAGGAACATGAACGAACTCACCCAGAAGAGAAGCCGTATACATGCAAGCATTGTAAAAAGAGCTTTCGCCGCTCACTAGATTGCAAACGACATGAACGAACTCACACAGGAGAGAAGCCATATACATGCAAACATTGTGATAAATGCTTTAGCGACCCATCAGCTTGCAAGCAACATGAACGAACCCACACAGGAGTGAAGCCGTATTCATGCAAGCATTGTAATAAGTGCTTTAGTCGGTCATCAGCTCGCAAGGATCATGAACGAACTCACACAGGAGAGAAGCCTTATTCATGCAAGCATTGTAAAAAGAGCTTTCGCCGCTCACTAGATTGCAAGGTGCATGAACGAACTCACACAGGAGAGAAGCCATATACATGCAAACATTGTGATAAACGCTTTAGCGACCCATCAGCTTGGAAGCAACATGAACGAATCCACACAGGAGTGAAGCCGTATTTTTGCAAGCATTGTAACAAGTGCTTTAGTCGGTCACCAGCTTGCAAGGAACATGAACGAACTCACACAGAGGAGTGAAGCCGTATTCATGCAAGCATTGTCAAAAGTGTTTTAGTCACACATCAGCTCGCAAGGAAAATTAACGAACTCACACAGGAGACAAGCCGTATTCACTCCACAGACCACGTTCGTACTGAACAAGAACGAAAACTTACAAGACTTCAACGCAATAAAGACAAAAAACGACCGAAAACTGACGATAACTGGGTCAGGAATATTTCTTCCCGACCCTTAGACAAAACCGAGACTCACGTACTGTCCTACGGACTAAAACACTCAGTGACGCCTAAACGGATACCGACGGAGTCTATTGTATCTAGTGTTGAGGCGGTTCTGTCTCGTCAGCGAGACTTGTCAGCATCTGCCAAGGATAACATCAGAAGCAGAATTGCTTCCAGGGTAGAATCAGCCTCTGTACCTGACAACAACTTGACCGACAAGCACTGAAACGACTGAAAAACGACAACAACCTTGTTATACTACCAGCCGACAAAGGACGTGTCACTGAACTTCTTGAGATAAGGGCACTTGAACTTCTTGGGATAAGAAGTGTGCCACTTCAGTTTTTTTCGAGCTATCTTGCGAATAGATGGCAGTATGTTCAGTTGATGAATACT